TCTGAGTTTTTTGTTTGTTTGTTTAGGATGGGGAGGAGAGCGGGGGGGGCGGGGGTAGAAGAAGATGGACTAGGATCCTTTTGGTTGTTGCAAGAGCATAGGGCGAGAAGGTTACGTTCCAGTGGGATTGAACTCACCATAGCACGTCATCACTGTATCATTTCTTTATTCTAAGCCAAGAATTTGATGTCTAAAATGTAGACAGATTTTTGGCTAAATGGAGTAAGACAATACGCCAATGAAAGGAAGTGGTGTCCTTTTGCCTGGGTAGTTTTCTATGACCAAGAATTTTATGGATTGGGAGTTCTGCTTTAGAATGATCTCAAGATCTTCTCATAATATGCCCGTATCTTTTCTTGATTCACTGGAAACACAGCCATGGATATGGATTTTGCCTTCACCTGGATACTTTGCACTGAGCATAGTGTGCTCAGCTGTGTGACTCCCCCAGAGCATGCGTGTAAATCCAGCCAGAGAGGAGGACCCAGAGGTTAGATTCAGGCCTTCAAGATGACCACCAGCTGGGGAAGCAGACTAAGGGGACCTCCTCTGTGCTCTGCTACAGGGCTTCTCAAACGTGTGTGGGTGTCAGAGTCACCCGGAGGGCTGAGGACACTCGGATCGTTGGGCCTTACTCCCCGAGTTTCAGATGCATAGGTCTGGGGTAGGGCCAAGAATTTGCGTTTCTCACAGTTCTTCACCAGTGACTTTTTGAGAGTCAGTGTTCTACAGCTTCTTTCTTCCTGTTTAACTCTCACCACCCGGAGGTTAGGATGGGGCTTCATTATGCCTGGCCAGTATGTGTGGCGAACGCCATGGCTTTCCTACAATGGATAAGGCCCCGGCCAGACTGTAGGTGTTCATCGTGACCACTAACCAGACTCGGGAGGAAAATAGAGTTTTAACAATCCACCTATTCCTGAGGTTGCATTTTATTTCAGATTAGGAGGTCATCTAGTCTAGTGGCTTTCAAAAGCCAATTTAAGAATCAGTTCTAGGCTGATTGCATAAGCAAAGCCAAGGAGCTTGTTAAAAATACAAATTCCTTGTCTCTGCCCGAGGATATTTTGATTTTGTAAGTCTGGGATGAGGCCTGGGGACCTGTGTTTCTAACAGTCTCCCTGGATGATTTAATCCACTTCAAAGTTATCTTTCCACAGGCCTTGNCTAACAGTCTCCCTGGATGATTTAATCCACTTCAAAGTTATCTTTCCACAGTATTTCTTTCCATGGTCACACACAGTGTGCTCCAGCAAGACAGCTATTTTTGACTGTCTTTGCCTAAAACTTAGGCTGTGCCCTTTCTCAAGGGATTAGCAGCCTTTTCAAAGAAGTATGCACAGGATTCCTCTCTATTTCATTTTTCATCATCACAGGTGGCTATGCTGGGGGAATGGTCTGTGGCTCAGCCCCTCAAAAGAGCCCTAATGGGCACTGAGTGCTTCTAAGAAGCACTGTTCCTGGCATGTTTAGAAGGGACTAGGTACACAAGGGCGACCCACCCAGCCCCTTAGGTACTATAGTGAGTGAACTTGCCCCAGTGTGGGATTATCAGAAAGAGGGGCGGGCCCTTGAATAAGCTTATTGGGAGTTCGGTCATTCACTCCCCCAGCAATCACTGGAGATCTGCTGTGGGTCAGTCATGGAGGTGTGCTCTCAAGATAAGAAATAGTCCCTGCCCTCCAGGATTCCACACTTTTGAATCCTACCTTCAAATGCTGAGAAATATGCTGTCATCTTTTGGCACATAATCTGTGCTGGTGTACACACCCTTTCAGCACAGAAAGTCATTTGGCACAGGTACCAAGGATTGCCAACAATCTTACATGCACACACACAGCCCGCAAACAAGAGAAACAGTATCCTCGTTCAAGTTCCTAACTCTAGCATCATCTGCACAATTTTATTTTAGGTTGCAGATCACACAGTTGCCTTTTTAACGTTTTTCTTTATGCTGTTGTTAGTCTTCTATGCTGGAGTTGGTTCAAAAATACATTGAAGGGAAAAGATGATGGTACTTACTGTGTTTTTGGAGAGGAACATTCCTCTCTTTAGAGAGAGATAAACACTAATATTAACTTGAAAATTGAATGTCTGGTATCTAGTTATTATAAAATAGGCACATTTTTCTTTACAATTATTTGTACACATTTTTTCTTTACAATTATTTGTTACACTGGACCCCCGTTTAAATATTTTACGTTTATATAAAATGGACGGCTTTATATTAAAATTCATGTAATGCTCCTGTCTTCTCCAGTTTAAGTCAGTCATCAAAAGATGCTCAATCTAGCTCCATCTTTTCCTTAAGCTAAATATAGTGAATCACATAGTTTGAAGGTGTTACCAGCCCTCTTTGCTTTTAAGCAAGAGAAAATGCACTGTGGAAATGCCGTCTCTCGTTTTTAAGGTCATTGATTGAGTTAAAAAGGCAAATGCCTTTTTTTGTTGAACTTCCTTCAATTAAGCCATTAACCTTTGAAAATAAGTATATTCAGAAATCTATCAGAAAAAGCTAAATGAGATTTTAACAAAATCCTGACAATTTCAGCTTAAACATATACACAGAAACCATATGTGCTTAGAAAGAAATATATACACACAGGCATTGTTTACAGCGTGTGTTTTTATATTTTGAAGACATTGAGGGAAGAGCCATTCCACACAGACATTATCTGAAATGTACATCCAGATAGCCCCCGTGGATTCTCCACGGAGACAAAGATATCTTTATCCATAGGAGGCAGACAGACTGACCGACTTCAAACTTGCACTTGCAGTGTGAGGTTTTTTCCCTCATCTCCGGGTACTGCTTTTCAAAACCGCCCCGGGCTACAGAACAGCACCTCAGATCCCCAAGGCCCACTGCCTGGCTCCTAATAGCCACTCTCCATCTGTGTCACATGAACAGCTGATGAGATCGCTCCAGTGTCTGTATTTTGGAGAGCACATCCACCCAGGTTAAAATGCGAGGGTTGCCAAGGAGCAGTCAGAAGCCATTAGTGTGGGTGAGAATTTGCCTTGCAGCAGTTCCTTGGCATGGTGGAAGCTTCGTGTGTGCGGGTCCCTGCTCGGTGTGCGTGTGTGTGTGTGTGTGTGTGGGGGTGTGTGTGTGTCTCCTTGTGCAAGCGACCCCTTAGTGTACGTGGGTGCGCAGGGAGCTGGGGCAGATGAAGAGCAGGCTCCACATACCCACTGTTCGCAAGTCAAATGCCTTTTGTTTCCCTGCACTCTGATTAGTTCTTTGACTATTTGGGGTCCCTTTGACTCACTTCTTTTTCTTTTTTTATCATAACAGACGGCAAAGAAAAAGAGAACAGCAACTTCGGGGTCATGCTCTAGTGTTTGGGCAGATGGAAGGGAGCTGCTTTGCCTTGGGGCAGGGTGGTTGTAATGAAGTGGCCTGTCAGTCTGTAAATAGTGAGGGTCATCTCTTCCATGTGATGGAGGGTATCGCATTGCAGTGAAAATGGAAATGTCAATAAAATTAATCTGCCAGCTCTTTGCTGTGGCTTTTCTGCTTCTCTGGTCAAAGAAGGTTGAGGGTTTTTTCGGCGAGAGGGGAAAAGCACAGGTACAGGGAGCCCACCGAGCAGACCCTGAAGTTGGAGGGCGAGGGGCGGCGGGCAGGATGTGGTGGTGTGGCCTTGTCCATGAGGAGGGAGCGGGCCTGGGAGTGAAGCGGCGGGTCTGTGGCATTCCCCGGGAAGCTGCGGAGCGGCCGGCTCAGGCTACATTGAGCACAGAGTTTATTGTTTTAGGCTTTCTTGGACAAGGTTTTTACTTAGCATGGGATTTATGGCATTTACTGCTAATGAATGTCTATTCTTAAATTACAAAAACCCCCATCTCAGCGCAATTCCCAGATGTCCTTCCAGGACCCTGGCTTCTTAAACACCAGCGGGGAGCATAAACTCTCCACTTCTGTTTTCCTCTTTCGTGTGGCTCCAGGCTAATGACGTGCGAGGAAAACACAGCCATCTATAAAGCCCCAGTGCTGTCCCCGTATTCTTCATTTATTTTGCATTTGATTATGCCACAAGTCGGATCTTGTTTCTTTCCTTTTTTTAAAGTTATTAGTTCAAATATTAATGTAGGGATATGGCATATATTGCTGCTCTTGATTGATGCCTTCCCAAAAACAGGAAGACGTGCTCGTATGAATTTTAAGAAAGTAGGGGTCCTGCAATGCCTTGCCAGAAGAGTTTTTCAGATACATAATTTAGATGCCCTCCAGGCAGGCTTTCAAGGCATTTTTGCCGGAGGGCAAGAAAAAATAACTATGACTGTTAAAAAGTAAATGATTTTTGCTAATGCACAATTGATGCCCGAGAAAAGCACAGAAGAGAAAGATGTTGCTAGAAACTTCTGATTAAGTGAGCGCCCTACCTTGATGTGGATCCTGTTGTGTTTTTTTTAATGATAATGATCAGTGTTTCAGGGAGCTAAAAGTTTTCATGCAAATGCTGTGAGCGCAGGGTCACCCGAGGAGTGTGTGCGGATGTGTACGCTCAGGAGGTGACAGTTCTGGGAGGGGCTGAGCAGGCAGTGTGTTATGTGCAATGAACAGTGACACAGTTACTGTCACCTGTGCAGGCAGCCTAGAATATATAGACTACAGAACATTTAACTTGATTACCCTACAGTATGTGCTCACGATGGGCATGGGGATGCATTTTCTCCGAATGGGTTTTCTGATGGCGGTTTTCCCACATTGGGTTCCATAATTGACAAAGAGCGACTGCACTGTGTCAAGCACACAATTATAATCGAATTAATGATATGGGCGAGTGTGAGACACACAAAATTAACATTTGAAGAGGCCTGGTTTAATTTTGTCTTTTACATATTTGTGTCTCCAATTATACTTTAATGAAAGAGACTATACCCGCTTAATGGATATCTTTCAGCAAGCTGAGCTCAGCTCATCATTAGCTGCATGTCGCCGTCGGCCCCCCCTTCTGTGTTTTCTCTAATGTGTTTTCATTTCTTTCTTCTAGGGGATGGTTTAGACAACAGCGTAGCTTCACCTGGCACAGGTGACGATGATGATCCTGACAAGGACAAAAAACGCCAGAAGAAAAGAGGCATTTTCCCCAAAGTAGCAACAAATATCATGAGAGCGTGGCTCTTCCAGCATCTCACAGTAAGTCAAGATGAAAGAGAAAAAACAAGTTTTGTTGTCTTTCCCTTCTCCCGGCCAGTTATACAGGCTTGTGTAGATTTCTCAAAATAAGGTGTCAGTTTTCCCTTTCTCGGAATCTGATGACTCACAGAGCTAGTTAAGGTTTTATCCACTCTTACCATCCACTGAGCGCCCTTCAGAAAGGAGCCGACTTTTTGTGTTAATAAGCCAGGTATGGACCTTGTTCAGAATGGCCTAGGACCCTAAACAGTATATATGTGTAAATTTGCTATTTATGCTAAAAGGGCCAGGGGCAACTTTAGATAACGCAGTTTGCAACCACGGGCAGTGGCTGTGAGGAGCTAGCTTGTCAGTCCGTCAACATTGCCAATCACACTCTTACCAAAAGCCGCCTCCTCCAGCAGGCAGGGAAGACGCCTTGCCACATACGTGCATGTCCAGGCTCACAGTATCAAGTGCAACTGTGACCGCCGAAGCAGCTTGCAAACACGTCATGTGTTTGTGTGACAAACACAAGGTTATAGGTGCTGTAACACCTTTGTTTGTAAGATGGAGATTAAAGGTGTTTTTTTTTTAAGCTGTTCAAGTCCATTATCTTAGAAGCTAACCCTCTTTGCTTCTGGGAAAAGATCAACCACATACAACATTTTTTAAGTAACAATTTATCTTTAGCCTCCTGTTTGCAATCTGTTTGATGCGTCTGTATATACTGTTTGACTCTAAGACTCATGACCAAAAAAATCAGTTTTTACAGAGGAACTAGACATTCTTATATTTTACTGTTCGTTTGGAAATTCTGGGAAAATTGTGAAGATCTCAGAGGCTGTTTCTTGCTATAATATTGTTTTCAGGCCATTCTGTTTAGGCTAATGCTTAAAAACAGAGGAGCACATTGAAAGCTGAAGGTCTTTGATTATCCCACTTGCGTGTTGCCGTGCTGAATGACATTAGTTACAGTGTCATGGGTCCAGGACAAGGTTCCACTGTTATTTATGGCTGCGGCTGCTGCTCTGCTCTGCTAGCAGGGCCACAAAGGGCAAGGGGCGGAGTGGCGGCGGGGAGGGCGAAGTGATAGATTCACGTTCCTAAATCGGCCATTTTGATGTAAGGACATTAGTAGCAAACGAAGGTGTATCGATCTGGCCCGAGGTGTCAGGATTAGCTGGGGGACCCGACGAGGCCGCCGTCCGGTGGTTACTCTTGCCTTGCAGCTCTGGCCGTTTCAAAGGTCAGGGCCCTGCACTGACTCGGCTCAGAGGAATTAGACGGAACATGCGGTCTCCGGGCTGATTACTTAACCAAAGACGAAATAATGAGTCCTAAGCAAATACTGACTAATTGAAAGGGCTGTAAATCCATTACATATTGGTCAGGGATAATCAGGAGTATTTAATCACTTTTATCTATTCAGGAGCACTGAAGCTGCAACGGCGGAGCCCCGAACCTTGCCATGAGGTTATTATTCTCGTCATTATCAAAATTACTTCACAGCTGTTCTTTGCTACATCACCTCAGCTGGAGATTTACTAACCTGTAAAATGTTTTTAATCTGGAAGTCGAGGGAGTGGGAGGGGAGGGGTTTCTCATCCTTAGCTGGAGATTTGTTTGGTTAGAGTAGCAACTGAGAAAGGCAGGGTAGGGGCCCCTGCGGCCTGGCGGGCTGGCGGGCCGCTTTCTCCACCAGCTCACCTGTTCCCTTTCCTCGCTGCGTCCTTCACGCACAGCCTTCCTTGGCCAAAAAGGAAGATTTCGACAGTTGCTTTCCCAGCAAACATCTCCCCCAGTTATCAAAACCAGTGTCGCAAAACTATAGACTCTTAGAGGATTCGGTTGCTCTGCTTACAAATGAGGAAACTGAGACCCAGAAAGGGAAGCGATTAGCTCTCGGTCAAGCAAGCTATGACCAGGGCCAAAGCCTTCCTCTTTCCCAAATCTGTGCTTTTTCTGCCACTCCGTGATGACTGCTAAAATCATTATCACCTTTAACAGTTGCATATAAATCTCGCAGCCTCTGCCATCAACACACTCTGTTCTCTAGTTCTTCAAGTTTCCTGCTCCCCCAACCTTTCCAAATAGAGAAGGCTCTCTTTGTACCTCTCTCCTCAAGCCAACTTTCCCCTTTACCTCTCTTGTTTTGTGATTTGAATTTCCCATGAAAGAGTCCAGAGCCCTTGCTGGCTCTCCTGCCTCATCCTGTCCCTGTCCTGCAGGAACCCACCCTGCACCGTGCCTGCGGGTGAAGAATTATGGGTGCCCAGTGAATTCTGGGTTCTCTCTGTGGCTCTGGTGCGCAAGGTGCTACTGACCAACTATAAGACCTGTCCCCACCCCACGAGTGCCCTCGTCTAGTGGACTGTTTACAAGGCTCTGTGCAGGACTGTCTCCCCAACTGAACATTTCCACAAAGGCCTGTCCTTGGAGTGGGGAGAGGAGACCAAATAGCCAGAACCAGCAGTCCAGGAAACTGGCCTTTCATTTTTTAAAAAAAATTATATTGATTTTTATAACATTGTGATACAATTTGATCAAATATACGTAAGAAACTACATTCCAGTGTGGGAGACAGGCACATTATTGTATAGATAAAAAATACTTTTGAAGAGGCTGTGATGGAAATACATACACAGGATTATGTGGTCAAACTGGCATTTCAAGTTCAGGTTTCCTCTGTACTGGCCAATCCTCAGTTAAGTCTCTTAAGTTCTCTGGACCTGCCGTTTCCCCAGCTTTCAAGCCGGAGGTACACGTTGCAGGCTCCTTTCCCACGCTCACAGGTATCGGTTCTGCTCAGGAGCATTCAGCCTGAGCTCTGCCCCAGCCTCTGGTCATCCTTTCTTCCCAGTCCCCCTTTCTTTTTGCTTTCCACTAAGTGCTTCATTTTTCTCCTCCCCATGACCTTTTTTCACCACATGGCCCTTTCATTACTTTCTTCCACTGGCTTTGTCTCCCAGTGGTTCTCTCTGCTCCCCTCCTCTGCCTTTTCTGCACTTCCCTTGTATCCTAAGGAAATTCTCCTTTCCCTTTGAAAATATTTTTTCTCTCTTCATCCAGACTTTACTCCCAGCTGCAGAGAAGAGGCTCAGTAACTTTGATGAGGATGGTCCTGTAAAACTTTTACTTTCCAATCTTTAATGAGCTGAAAGATTTACTTGGCTATAATTCTGAGCTCAGAAACTGAGAATAGAGACCCCTAACTAGCGACATGTTAATTTAGACTTCTTTTCTTACGTGCACTAACAGGCAGGAGGGAGTCCTTGGAAAGAGAGATGCCCTACTATATTTCTCTGTCTTTTAATTAATTTCAACTTTCAAAGTAAAATGTTGGCTCTAACTCACTGAAAATAGATGTAGTCTAAATTATTATTTCATGTAAATTTCTTTACAAGTGCATGATTCAATGTGCGTTCCTCCCTTATTAGTCCCCTTAACATTATTTCAAACTGGTCTGTTTCCTTTTGTGCAGTATGACCTGTTCTTGTATTACAATAATCCCCGATGTACCCTTTTTTCTTTCTTTTTTAAAAAAAGAAGCTAATTGAATTATCTCATTATTTTAATTTGTTAAGCAAATGTATTTTGCATCTCAGGATGTGTTCTTAAAGAAGGGGGCTGCGAAGGCTTTGCCCCCTGAATGGGCCATTGGCCCATTTTGACATTCATGCATTCATTAACTAGCAGAACATAAAAGGACTCTGGTTGTATTTTTTTTTTTCCAAACACCCAACCAGCATGGAGCAACTTTTCCCAATAAGCCACAGGGGTCTCTCTACATATGTTCTCAACTGCAAGCTATTGTCACCTATTCTGAATACCTCAAAAGGCCCAGAGAAAAAAGAACCCCACCTCAACAAAGGCCAACTGTAGCAATTGTTCAGTCTCAGTCTCAATATGACAAAAATCATTAACCTTCAGTTTTCTTGGAGGAACAAGCTCTACTACAACTGTAACAGTTAAAACCATCTCTCAAATTCCTGTGCACCGCCAGCTTTAGGAGAAAAGGTACTATACTTACAGCTAATTGAAGATATGGAGGAAAATATTTAAACTAATTCTGAAGTGACATTTAAAAAAACAAGCCAACTATTTGATGAGTTGAGGAATATTTATATTCAGAATTAAGCACTTTGAATTTGCTTAATCTGAAGCTACATAATTCGTTTCTAGTTTCTAACTACCAATTTCCAAAATGTCTTTTTAAAATGCCCTTTTAAAAACCCACAATAATCTTAACACACACACACACACACACATATATATGTTTAGAAAGTCAACTACTGAAATGTAGTAGAAGTAGATACTATTACCCCCTCTTCTGTTGGTTGATGGCTGTGCCTGGCTCTCAGACTAAGAAACCTAGTAAAGATCGAAGAAAGAATCTGTTGAAAATGTATGTGCTCTAGTTGGGAAGTACCCAATGGAAAAAAACACACCACAAAACTTAGGGAAATCCTAGGGAAATATATTCCTTTCACTAACACATGGAGATTATGATATCATAAAAGTAAGCCTGCCATTACAACTGTTTTTATTTTACTTCAAAGATAGTTAAAGAAAGAAACAGCAAGAAATCATACCCAGGCTAACGGTTTATTCATAACCATGAAAAACTGCTCCGTGGAAGGAGCCCTTAGTGTGCTCAATTAGACTCTCAGGCACCTCCACTTGCCACCTTCAAGAGCTCCCCTAGTTGTGCTGCAAAGAATATATTTGATCATGGAATGAAAACAGGAAGTGCTCACACACAAAGACACCCCTTGCTCATACCAGGTTCCCACTAACGTTTTTCTTATTTGAAAACACAAGGATAAAGCTCACACTTAGAGGATGCGGGACTTCTTTCAAAGATATGCATACAGAATCAGAAGCAAATTTACTTTAAAGTGAGGTAATAACACGCAGCCTTCTTGAGACAGCAGGTTCTGGAAACTCTGCCCTTTGTTGGTGGCAAGACGCTTTACCCCTTTCCACAGCTTTGGTGGTGAGGGGGAGGGACGACGCCT